GGGTTTCAACACTCTGCCCACTTGCAGTAAGTCTCCCAGCAAGGCTGGGCATCCCCATGGGCATCCAGATTCATGAGTGATGCCTGGCTGGGTGCAGAGCCTGGGAAAGTCTCTGTGATCATTGCTCCACAGCTGGGCATGTTGCAGCTTTGGTGTCACCATTGCTTATCTGCAAGCATGATCTGTTAGCGTAAAATTAGGTCTTGGTCATTAGTTGTCAGAAAAATTTCCTCTAGAAAAGTGATATATACTGTCAGTATCCCAGTTTCCGTGATTATTTCAAGAGAGTCTGATTTTAAGGCAAAAAGTATATTTTCCCTCCATGGTTCCTCCAGCTTCCTGAGGTTTCTATGTTGACCTTTTCAAACTTTCAGAACAATTCAACAGTGGTGACAGCCCATTCCTTTCATCCCTGCTCCAGCTTCCAAACCCACACATTACCTCACCTGCCTTACAGCCACTGCACAGATTATTTTGTTACAATTATAAAATCCTTCCTCAAGCACTCACCCATCTCTTGGGTTGGACACACTTCCTGAGAACATTAGGTTTCCTTCCTCTAACCAGGCTCCTTCAGGGCATGAGGAATGCAGCTTGATCTTTGACTTCTGTCTCTCCTCTTTAAAGAAAAACATGGATCTGACCCATTTTTTACTGACATTGCATTTCCACTGCATTAGGTGGGAATAATCATCCCTTAGAATCTATCATTTCACTCATCTTAAGTGTCACAGATCCAGCTAAGGCACAATAGAAATAGCTAAGGCACAATACATCAATACTATAAATAGAAATAAATTAATGTTTTGTGTGCTGACAAAATTTTGCACATCCAGAGTGAGATGTGTCTTAGTTGCTGGTAAGTTTATTTATTTAGAAGTGAATGACAGCTTGCTTTCTTAGATTAAGGAAAAAAAGAAGAATATATTTTCTAGAACATTCTGTATTCACAGCTATTTAACCACGCCCTGTCCTCATATATGAAATATTGCCAAAGCCACAATCTTTCATGTGGTTCCTTTTAAATAACCTCCTAGGTACTAAAGGTCAGGATGATTTAAAAAAATAACCCGTTAGAATGAAAGAACTTTTTTTAAATGTGAAAAAACAAACAGCGAAATCCTACGCAAACTTGCCATAAATAAAAGACATGAGGATGATAAGTGGAATAAACTACTTTGGCATTGCAATCACCTGTTTTGCTTTGTCTCAAGCTTTGTTCAGTCTAAAACTCTAATATAAAAATAAGATTCTGAAATTCATTACAATTATGAACCCATTGCAATAGCAGTGTTGGCTTTGTAGATATTTTCATGTCCTCACTGCTCAGCTTGTTGCCAATGTTGGTTCAACCATCCAGGTAAGATGAAGGAATAAAAAAATGAAGAAAAACTCTTCTTTCTGTTATTTTCCTCAACATTATTTGCTCTCACACATTATTTCAAAGAAATATTTTGGAGGATGGGTAGTTCTCACACACATTTTCCCAAAATTTAGTTGTTTTTGATAATGTGACACAAACAAACAAGATTTTAGGTACTTCTGAGCTTCCATTACATTAAGGCTCAGAAGTCACATGCTTCAAAGGTGGTTTGGAAGTAGAGCAGTTACATCTGCCTCAGAGGTGGCAATAACTGCACTAGGTCATGCAGGATGGGGCCTGAGGGCTCTCCCCTTTAGAGTCTCGGTTGATCTGCAGCAGAATGTAATATTGATCAGTAATTTTACTATGAGAGCACCAACGAGTCCATCAGGAACCAGGAACCTTGTCCAGTGATGTGCATGGCATAAGACAGACAATTAAAGAAACTAGACACTGAAGTTCTTAATTTCACTTCTACTCCAAGACATCCTCCAAGATGCTGACTCTCTAGGGACAAGTATGCATGAAACAGAGCAACAGATCGGAACTGTAGAAAACTTCAAAATCCTAAGGTCCTGCTTTAAATCCATTGTATTTAAGGTTGAGAGAGCCCTTTTGATAACCACAAGCTGTTTAGGCCTCCCGCACAGATGGCAGCTGGAGCACCAGGTGCTCCTGTGAGCCGGGCAGAGCCCCACTGACACCATGGGGAAGCGCCCAGATGGCAAGAGCTTGGCCACCCCGACTTGGGGAGGCTTCACTTGGCCTGGGTGACCATGAGACCTCCGGTGTCCTGCAGAAAACCCTGGCTCAAGGGGGAAGGCCCCATGGCCATCACCAACCTTGGTTGCTTGCCCTTGCTCTGGTTTTAGCCACTCTGGAGACATCCCCACGGCCTGGAAATTTGGTGGCAACGAGGGACACATGTGTGGGCCTGGTGGGAAGGGGATGTTCTTCGCTGTGGTGGGATCCAGCTGGACCTCCCCACACAGGAACAGCCACCAATAGCTAGCGCGGTTGGGGCATCACCAGGCGGGATCAGAGAGGACCCTGGGGTGAGGGAGGTGCAGTAGAGAGATGGCACGTGGGAGCAGGAGAAGGTGACACCCTCAGGGACATGGCAGAGGGGCCCAGAAACAGAGAAGGAGTGAGGGTGAAGGCTTGGGAGGAGGACAGCAAAGCTGACAGGCAGGGTAGGAACAGCAGCAGGACAACACAAGCTCAGGACACAACGAGCAGGAGCAGACATGGCTGCTCATCTAGGCAGAGCCTCAGGTCCGCTTCCCCAGGAAGGCAGAGTGCTCCTCTGCAGGACACTGAGAGCTCCAGTGGCTCTACCCCTGCCGCCCAGCGCCAGAGATCCTCAGAAGAGAAGCCCATGCTGAGGCCATCACCCCATCTCGAGGCAGCAAACTCGTTTCTCCTCCGTTCTCTGAGAGGTCAGGCAGCCTCTCGCTGATAGCCTGCAGGCTGCAGCAGCGGCAGGCTCCGCAGGAGCTCATCCCAAAACTGGCCTTGCACCTTGCCCTGATTCTTCTGCTGGGCCCTTCCTGAGAGCGGGGCCCTCTCCCACGCCTGCTCCCTCCTGACGGCTTTCCTTAGAAAACAAACCACCCCCAAGCCCACATTTTTTTATTTTATTTTTATTTTTCTTCCAAGCAATCCTCCCACTTTCTGTTTGCCTCACCTCTCCCTCATTATCCTGGGTCTTGCTTTTGTTTGTCTTGGCTATTTTGGGCCGCAGGCTCCTTGGGGAAGGAGCGCAGCTCCGGCGTTGTGCGCGCGCACCACAGCATGCCTGGTTCCTTCCAGCCAAGCGGCGCTCAGGCGATAAATCGGGCATAAACCAACTGAAAAGTGTCAGCCTGCATGGCTGAATCAGCTTTAAAAGGTATAATTCATTAAACAGCTGTAGCATTGGGAAGAAAAAGCCACCCTGTCTTCTAAAATATAGTTTAATGTTGAATTTTCAGAGAAAATCTGGTAAATGCTATGCTACCCTGGAGCTGAGTAGAGCAGATTAGTGTAGGTGCTATGGCACACCTAAGAATCCTATACAATCCCCTTCAGTATTGTCCCTCCTAAAGGACCACAAACACTTTCAATGTTATCTATAATGCCAGTTGCATACAGTGGCAATATGGAAGTAAAAATATGAAATGAAATTAAAAAGGTGAAAGCACTATGGAGTAATAAGCAAGAAGCAGCTGTGATTTCTACTATCCAATTAACTCTTTTCAACTGATGCCATTTACGTATTTTTTAACCATATTGCTATTTGATATTAACACTCTCAATTACTGAAAAATTGTATTTAAGGGGCCTCATTTAGAAAGGATTAGGATGAAAATGTTTATAAGAGCTGTGTGGGATTTCTCTTCCTACTGCTGTCAAGAAGATGATTATTCTAATTTTATACAACAACATCCCAAACTTCCATCCCTAGAAGCATCACGTAAAGATCTGAGTTTTGCTTTCCACATTTACGACTCTTGTGTCATCACCTTTTAAACTCTTTAACTGTGCTTTAAGCCAATTTTTGTTGTGAAAGTATGCAAATGATTTAACATGAATCAACATGAAAGTAGTTTCTTTTATGTGTTCAGCATCATTTTTTTAGAGCTACACTGATAAATGGATTCTAATTTATAGCATGTGAAATATAAAAGGGAGTGCACTCCTGCATACTTGCACTTTGATGAAAAAAGTGATGTGGGATTCTAGAGAAAATTAAAACCAAGTTTTTAAAGCAGTATGTCCTGTTTGTACTCTGCAAGGACTTCGTTTTTGATGTTTATTTCCAAAGCTATCAAACCTTACAGGAATCTTTCTCATCTTTGCTTAAGATCCTCTCATTTGTAATACAGGAATAGTTGTCATATAAAGCTAAATGCAGATGGCTTTTTGCCTTCTCCAGAGGAAAAAAACATATTGAACATCTCAGTCTGTATGGGTAGTTTAAAGAAAAAAAAAGAAAAAAAAATCCCAAGAGTGCAGCCTCCCACCCAGGGCCTTGGCTTGTGGTATGAATGATCAGTAACTCTTACCATTATTTGACCTTAGACGTTCAACCCTAATGTGTGTAACACTCTTTTTCCCCTTCTTCTAGGCCCATCTCTCTATAGATACCTAATTTTGCAGCTGAGGGCAATGGGTAGTGATTTTTTTTTTCAGTGTGACCTCTCCGTGCTCCCTTCCTTTAAACACAGTGGCAATATATGAGGCATTCCAAGCCAGCGAGGCCAGTGCATCATCTTTCCTCCATGAAATTACAAGCTGTGGTTAGGGCAAAGGTTGCGAGCTCTCCAAGAATGACACTGGGCCAGGATTGACACTGGGCCAGATGTATCTATGGAGTTGTAGCTGGTTGCAGCACATCTGGCTATGCCCCACCAGCTAGAATTGTTCACACTTTTCATATTCTTAGACAACTGTGACAACAACATTCTAAGACAACTTAGACAACAGTGCATGACAATGCAGCGTTGGTCAATATTGACATGGCTCATGTATTAACTACGAGACCAGGCAAAGGGTAGCAGACAGTCAAGCCTGGGATAAGCAGCAAAATTCATGCAGCTTGGCTTTGTAATTCCTGGCCATTCCAAGAGTCGAGAGTAAAATGTCAGTCAAAAAGTAAACTGAAAAATTTAATTGTTTTATAAAATAAGATTATGAAATTCTATGTAAAAATTCAACTTCTTAAATATGATACATTCACTTTCTCACAGAATATTTAAATATTCAGGTCATTTAAGCTATATTTTCACCGTATTTGTTAAAATCATCGGATAAATTAAAACATCTCTACTGAAAGATACCACAACTTATACAGATAAAACTAAACAATTATACTTTTCAAATATACAATGTAAAGAAATTAAGAACTTTTAGAGCATGCTACAAAATTTTTCCAGAAAAATATATGAGATCATTTTGTTTAACTAGAATATATACAGTGTGCTTTTCATTTGTCTTCCTAAAATTCAGACTCATACAACTTCCATTTAATTTAATAAATATGTACAACAAAAATGTTTATACCTTAAAGAATATAAATAGCAAATACTGTATTAGAGCCTGGTCCAACATTCTTTTCTCATCTAGTGACTGTAGTGGGGCTTTTCAATTCCGAATGTGCAAAATGCAGAATCAGGCTCTTAGTGTTACCAACAGGTTAATAGCTTTTACAAAGTGATTTTATAAAAAAAAAAACTCTAAGAACACTGCAAAAGACTTAGAGCTATTCCAGTCAGGCAATTCTATAAATAGTTAGGGAAACAATGTTCCAGTTTAATTACTGCTGGCAGTAATTAGGGAAGAATAGTCAGTGGAGAATGCAAAGTATCTTGAATTAGACACATCTTACTTTCACTGATTTAACTTGATTCCCTATCATTTCTAAAAACAGTTTTTGGTATAATCTATACATTGTAAATCTGTGAAGAAACTTTATCACCTTCTTCAGACTTTGGATGGTTGTTTTCGGAAAGTGGTATGTTTTCAAGTGCTTCAGTCCATACATTAAACCTTTAATGGTGTCTTGGTCTCCATTCTTTATCCTCCACAGATTGAGCAGCTTCAGGATTTGTTCTGTAGGTTGACATAGCTTCATTGAGCGTTCAATATCTTCTTTTCCCACTTTCTTGCCTGGTAAACTTGCCATCAGTGTGTTGAGATGTTCAAAGGTGAGATTTGGGCGGCCAATATGTTTTAAGACAGTATTTTCACAAAGATCGATATCTATATAAAGCAAAAAGAAGAGCTGTAAGTACAATGCATTGCAACTTTATGGTGGTCTGCAAAAATAATTAAATCAGTCTTGAGAAGCACTTAAGATTGTAATTAACTTTGCAAATACAGTCCAAAATGACACAAAATTACTAGCGAATATTTATTTCTATGAACTTTTTTTCATGCATCTTGTACAGCTGTCTAGACATTGTAGGACACCTCATGTTTGGTTCCAGTGAATGAATAATTTACTCTTCTTACTTTGGAAATGTCTGGACAAGCTTTGCTAAAATAGGCACTGTCATTTTGGCTTTTGAAGCATTCTAGACACTTTTCAATCTGACACAGCCATACATATTCAAAAGGTAGGGAGAAAACAGTAGCAGTTTTCTAATCTATTCCTTGTAGAGAAAAGGTCACTAAAATCTGGTGGTTGTTGATGGTGGCTTACATGAAAATAGGTAGTCTGACTTTCATAAAAATCTCAGTGCTAACATTGCAGCACTGTTTCACCTTTGCCACAGGAATTGGCAGATTCAGCACAAATTTGTGAATTGGCATGACAAATAGCTACCAGAAGGCAAAAAGAAGGGAAAGTACTTCAGTTATATTCCTTATTCCCTTGCTGTCCCCATTCTGCAAATAGATGTATCAGTCTGAGCTGTCGATCAGCACTGGTAGCACTTTTATTTTAAAACAAATCGGACTCTCAGTTGTGTGCATCCAGCTCCCTCTGACGTCAACAGTTGTTGCTCTGATACAGCTATGGGAAATGTTTTTGTAGGAGGTACGGTCCCCAAAGGGGATCTAGACTCCAACAACAACTGGACTCCCAAGGGGGACCATATGTGGCAAGTCTGGGCAGAACTTGAGTGTAAAAAGCTGAATCCTGTTCCTAACTACACCGCTACAGCTGCCTTCAGCATCAGTGCTCCTGCCCCAACAGCCTTCAGCCAAAACCACCCCTGCACCTCCCCATCAGGGCAGACCCAGGAGGAATCTAAATCCACACAATGTGTAAAACGCCATTTAGAAGGTTGCTTCAAACATAGGTACTATCAGTATAAGGTACCTTGGATAATCTTCTTGACCGTATCTTGCTCCTTGTTCTGCTGCTTCCACAATTTCAAAAGCTGGAAGGTTTGTTCTTGAGAACTGTGCCTTTGCTTAATCCTTTCTATATTTTCAGGGCTAACTTTTGTCCCAGGCAAACTGTCTGCTAGGATGTTCAGCCAGTTAGGTGTGAGCTGATTAGGAACAGCAAACCTAAACAAAGCCTCCTCACACAGGGTTACATCTGAAATAAGAAAGAGAAAAAGAATACAACAACTGTTTTCATCTTGGTTACACTGCTTATCTCTGAGTAAAAATAATATGCAGCAAAGAGGTTAAGAAAAGTGTTTAAAAAACAGTAAAACTAAAGAGTGGTCTTCACAGTTGCCCTCCATGCTTGAGTCCCCTTCACTCTGACCTATGATAATTAAATTTCTACTATGTCCCTCACTATAGCAGGTAAATGACTGACAACCTAGATGTTTTTATCATAAATGCTGATACTTTTAACAAAAATCAAAGGTATGTGTTCAGGACATTTTTCTTTCATATGATACATACCTATGCCACATTTCTGAGATGATGTATCTGTGTTTTCCTGGCACACGTTGTCTCGAACTGCATTTCCCCTCAACGCTGTTTTCAAGCCTAGTGCACTACAGTTTGTGTGTTTCTGACAAGCTGCTTTGGATGATGTTTCATTCGAGAAAAATCCTTCTGGACATCTCTTACACACAGTGTCACTCTCAGGGGTACCTTTGGAAAAAGAAAACACATCCACTTACAGAAATGGAAGAAAATATCCCTTCCAAAATTGTGATCACTTCTGATTTTCACATTTGTCATGCACATTTAGGAGAAAAAAAAAAAGGCGGAGGCTTTATTTTTTAAAAAACAAAAGAGAATTATAGAGAATGATTTTCTTCCTCCAGTAATAATAGTAAATAATACTCTTTCATATATACTTGTTACCAGCATCCATATGCTCTTGTGAATTAATAATTACTTGAGTCCATTTAGACATTACATGATGTCTGACCTTCATCTTTCATCCTTACAAATATCCTGGAAAAAAATTAACTGGAACTAAATACAGCTCTGTAATATCTGTGCAGAACATTACTAGAAAGGATTATTTAGTTCTAGCCAAAATACAATTCAGCTAAAGAGCAGCTAAGACCCTCATGTTTCAAGTTCAAAATCAAATTGAAAAATAAAATTCAAGCAATATTTTTTAACATTTTTGATTGAAAAGAACTATTAAAAGCAAATAAAAATATCCAATATAGCATTTTTAAAAAATATACATACATATTTTTACATAATGCTTGAGTACTATAATCACACAGTTATCACTCCAGAATTACACATATGACCCAACAATCAAATGATATTTTATGGTTGACTTAGACGAAGAAAATGAAAGCATGGGATCTGAAATAATACAAATAGTCTAACCACCAGTGACAAGAAAATAACAGCAACAATAAATGCCTTATATTCACCCTAAGTAATCTTTATTCAGTGAACACTTGTGCAAGTGTCTAAAGTCTAATATCTAATTTTGCATTATCAAACATGGACTTAAGCACACGTTTAACTTTTTTTTTTTAATTGGAAATTGTATTTTAATAAGAAAATGCCTCCATCTAGTGTATTTTGGGAGTATAAACATATGTCAATGTTAGCTTTTAAGTAAATTTAATATTTTGGGCATTTCTTTAGAGGAAAATAAGACTATGAACTCAAGATTTCTGATAGACATGAAATAAATATTTCCAAACACACGATCTAGCACTTCTTTCAGTAGGTAAGTGAAAACAAAGCAGAAATTTGTGCGTCTAAAATCAGCCCGTAAATTGCTGAAAAACGTAACAAGGTTTGTTTCCAGGCACCAACAAGCAGCAGCAGCAAATGGTGGAAGGCTGCATGAAGGGCTGCCTTACATTTTCCTGTTATAACATTTGCTGCTTTTGGATCTAGATTATACGAAAGTGCAACTTAGACATGGCTGCCTATTTCACCTGCACAAGCAGCAAGTAGAATTTTGGGAAAGTCTGAATTTTTAGTAACTCTCCCTACTAGAGACATGTTATTCTTATGTTTCAGCAGCTAGGAAGGGGAAGAAAGGACAAAGTCCCTGCAAACAGTTGATCTCCTTTCTGAGAGTTTCCCATGTACCCTCCTCTGTACGTGAGGGAAATAAAACGGGTAATCATCAGCAGTCTCAGGGCTGAGTATAAAGTTTGCTTCTGCATCTGCCTGGCTTAGCCACCCTTCTGCCGCTCCCTTCAATTTGCCTGGAATCCCCTGTTCTCTCAGGGGAACAGCAAATGCCATGGGGGAGATAACGCTGCCTTGTAGCAGTGCCGATTTCCAAGCAAATTGTCCCAAAAGCTCTGCCGGGCATAGGGTTGGCTGCTGCAGAAAGGAACAGACCTTAAATTCCACTCACAGATGGGGGACTACCGAGGAAAAGTGATCTGCCCAGCATGATCACGAGCAACTGGCAATGGGGAACTACGGTCAATTTCCAGTTCTCTAAACCCTGAACGAGGCACTGGACCACACGATCTGCCTTTGCTGCAGTGGAAGCTTGTTTCTATTTGCTTAGGCTGTATTGCTCCTGAGTAGAAAGACAGTGTTTCATGGAGCCACATGGCAGAAAGTGAGAACACAATGATGTGGCTCGTGCTTATTAAATCCTTAAGTCAGTGCCTCATCTCAAAAACGGAATATTGACACAGGGGAACACAATTATTTTTACAGTGTTTTCATTCCTTGTTTGAGGTCTGCTTGGGTTTAGTCTCTTCATTCTAATGGGCTTTTGGAAACCAACTTCCAATAAATTACATGATTCAACAACTTTTCTTCTTCCAAAGTTTGCCTCACTTTGAACTGTGGGATCCAAATTTGTAGTCGATTGCAATATTCTTTCAGGGATTCAGCAGGCTGCTGGGTCAATTTATACTTCTTTGTGCACCTCCCACATGGGCTTTCTGGGAACTTTGTTTCTGTCCCGCTCTACCTTGTTGCTCAGGTACAATAATAGAACTTCAGTGACCTAAGCCCTTGGCTAAAACAGGTTAGATTGGTGAGAGTTTCTAATACTGAAATGCAGTATCTGCTAGTGGAACTGCATGGAAATGCTTAAAAATGGCCTGAGCAGATGTGGCACCAGGTTAGTTTTCAATTAATCAGTTACTTGGGGAATAGTGATGTTCTACAGCAGCTACATTATTCATTACATTAAAGTTGTTCTTCAATGAGATACTCATCATCAGAGAAAACACTCCTGACCTATTATTCAGCATAGCTCTACAATGTTCTGGCTAGCCTTAAATGTTTTTCACTGCATATATGCAATTACTAGGGAAGTAAATCTGTATCTTTGGAGATTAGCTTCCTACAGCTTCATGTCTGAGATGTCTCTTCATTTTCTGTATCCCCTTCCTTGGTGTTCTTTTGTCTCTTCATTTTCTGTATCCCCTTCCTTGGTGTTCTTTTCTAGGCAGTGATCGATCCCTGGCACAATGACAGTTTACAGTTCTTTTAGGTTGTATTAAATCCCGCAACTAAGCTGGGCCATGACATTTTCCAAATGATAAATAATGTATTTTGTTTTGAGAGAAGAACTTATTATTGGTTTAACAATTTATGTCGTCTACAATGAAGAATACACTCCACTGAAAAACACCACTTCATTCTATCCCTGCCAGGCATTAATAGTACTACGTTGTTCAACAAAGAAATGGATGCTTTTTTGATAATAGTAACAATTTCCCTAGGAGTTCTACTTAAGACATTGATAATTAATTATTACCACATACTGCTGTGATGCTAGAGCTATATTAATATTCTTATAATTATACACTTGGTGTCAAAGCACTTACTGCTCCTGGGTGTTTTTCAAGATATACTGTTGCTTGAAACAGCAGATTTCAAAATGAAAACCATTATTTATCACACACACAAATACTACATTACAGATAATGTTCCTTTAAAAGGGGCAATCCATCATGTTTCTCATTAGAGTGCAATTTGCTACATTTGCTAGTGCCATTAAGTAATATATTACAGTAAGAGCAGGGGTATTCCACTGAGAAATGTTCCTTTGGCTACAGGCCAGACAGCGCAGACCAAAAACAGGTTCAATTGACTTTACAATTTACCATCCTGTAATTTCATCTGCACAAGCCTGCTTTCTAATCTTGTAAATGCCACAAGTCTTCAATGCATCGTGGACCTCCAATTAATTCAGTGTTTATTGAAAACAGATACGTACCTGGCTGTGCAACACCGAACCCAGGAGAACACGCCGTGTGCTTTAAGCAAAACTCTAACTCGAGGTATCTCCCTTGGACGCACTCGCAGACGCGGTTCTGTGTGCTCGTGCATTCCTGCTTGACATACTGCAACTCTTTGCAAACGGTGTTGCAGTACTGGCATTCATCATTGCTGTTCCAGTCTTCGGCATAGTACTGGTCCGGGCAAGGGGCGCACAGTGTCTGGTTGGTAGCTGTGCAGTGCCGCTTTACGTACGATCCAGGAGGGCACTGGTCACACACCAGTTCATGAGATGTTCCTGGGTCGTGATGGAGATACTTTGGAGAAGAGAGCTCCTGGACGGTCCACTTAACAGAAATATCCAAGAGCTATCAACAGGAAAATAAAACATCGTTCACTTTAGTCCTGGGTGGAAACATAGTCACAGAGAAACCTAGGTTTTAATGAGTTCATGAGTTCAATCCTGTCTCTATCTTCAATCAAATGTTTGTTAGAAATTTAGAAAATATTAGCCAGCTTCCGGACTCTCCCATGTCTATCTCTGAATGGGAAACCTTTTGGACCTTATCCAGAACATCTTAGCAGAACATAAGTACTTCCTTGTTTTTAGTTCATCTGTGGCTATAGATCCTACTATTCTTCCACTTACGCTCTTCTAAAATCACCAGGCAATGAGCTTTTTAACCTGCTGGCATCAGAGAACCTGGTCTATTAATTCCCTTAGCATCATGCTTGGCATGCAGCAAGATAGGAATTTTGCACTTTTAATCATTTAAGATGCAGAAGAAATTGCAAATATTTGAGTACATCTGTTAGATCTGAATATACAGATCTAACAAGAGTACTGCCCCATTTACTGGAGGAATCTTTAAAGGATGAGTTATTTTCTAATGCCTTTCATTTAATCTTGGACTAAAATGAAGTGACTCTTGGAATAAAATGTGGCAGCTACTTCAAGTATAAAGATGCTGCTTCAGAGAGAGGTAAAGAATGCTACAACTGATGGAATTTGCATTAAAGACTTAGTCACACAAGCCGGAATAGGTCAGACGAAAGCTTACACTTCCTATCCAAAAGTACATTCGGGGAATGGTGAACTGTCTGGAGAAATTGGTTCAGCCCTTACAGAAATCATGACAGCCACAATCCCTTCAGCTTCCCGCAATAATCTACATTGTTGGTGCGATTTGGGAACTAGCGGTCTGAGATGACCCTGCCCTTCCGTAGGGACAGCTTAGAGATCACGTCATTTTGGTCTACTCTGAAATGAAAATTTGGTTATGTGTTTCTCACAGTCCTTCAAAAACAGAACTCTTGTTTACCTCCCTAAGAATAGCCCCAAGCCCTACGAGGTCAGCCTCGAGCTGGGCCTTCAGGCTGGGACCTTGGCTCTGCCTGAACGCTACATGATTGACATGCTGCTTCTAAGACTTGCTCACCCCATAACGGTGAAGTAAACTGGCTCTAACAACTCAATTTTTCTCTGTATATATCCATTCAAATTAAAGATCTAGCTGGCTAGTCTTCATTACTGTTTTAATTCCAGGTGGCTAATTCAGTTTCAAGAGCACATTTTCTATTTTTTCTCCTGATGTAGATGTCCCCAGAGAGGAAGGGAAATCAACTCCTTATATTCATTCAGACTCATAACTTTCCTAAAGAACCTTAAGGGCTTCACTTCTGCCACAGAGCTGCATTTCTTATGTGAAATTCTTTTTAAGACTGCAAAGGGCAATTAAATCACTAATCTGCACCAACACAAGTCACAGTGTTAGCACCAACTAATTACAGGTGCCTTGAATATGAACTCTTACTGACTAACAGATTGTTCTTAACTGCAGTATCCTGTTGCCTGTCCATGAATCCACTGTTTATTTGACTATACCTAGACTCACTGCAGAACGAAATGCAGATGAAATGGATATTACCTACAGACTCTTCTAGTTACCCTTGACTAAACCCTGTAACTTGTCTGACCTTTATCTGTGATTTCCATAGGTGGAGAATCCACCTTTTTCTTTTGGTCTCAATGCACAATGCCTTCCATTGTGAGAAACTCCTTATTTTTCATTGAATTTCATCGATGATGTGCAGCTCATTTTTTTTCTTAAATGCCTGGATCTGTTTCATGAAATCTATTTAATAAGATGGTGCAGGACATTTTTAAAAAGTGATTGCCTTTCTGTTGATGAAAAACGCACCCACCCTTGGCAAATCTGCATCTATTAATCTGCAACTAGTAACAAGGAAGTCCTAAAAATCCCCTCAGCTCTTGATGATATCAGTCAGGTTTTCTTCTATGATTTCATTCAGTAATAGATAATGTAGCAAGAATTAGGCATCCATCCCACAGATGCCTACCACTGCATGGGCACATGCATTCTCCTATGGTAGTGCAGAACATCACAGATGGTTCTGCACACATGGCACACGTGCCGCAAAGACAAGCATAACCCAGCATGTCATGCAGATGCCTGAGAGCTTCAGACAATACTAAACACAGATGAAAATCTATTTTTCCCACTGTGTAATGTGCAACTCCTCTACAGCCACCAAACTGTCACTGCTGCAGCAACAGACCCTACTCCTCGAGGTTGTGCACCCTCTGCACTTGGTCACATTTTCCGGTGCTCAAGGTCCCATACCATGAATGTAATGTGGAGAAGCAGCAATAAGATTTTGTCTGTTTTCTTTACTTGACAGTTTCCTTTGGAACTCACATACAAGAGTCAATGAAGCGATTTTGCTGCAGGGGGTGAGTCAGGATTTGAAAGCATTCAACAATGAGGATATGAGAGCATAGGGTTTTGTGGGGAAAAATGTAGCTACTTGCTTCCTAAAGAACCAACCACTGTATGCAACAATCCTGTAAAAACTGAAAACAATTCTATTTGGGTCCAGAAAAAAATCTGATCCAAATTGTAATTGTATCACTTAAAAAAAAAAAACAAAAAAACAAAAAACGGAAAGGTCCAGACTATGAGGATTAAAAAAATACATGAACAGTACATGTGTGAGATTATGTCAAGTTTTCCCCTTGGAAGCACAAATAGTGTCTGCTGAGCATAATACTAGTAATCTAAATCAGCATAACCAATTAACACAACAATAGTATTCATAAATCAGCATTGCAAAATGGACAATTACAATTTTATAAGCACAGGAAAGCTGTAGAAGTCCTTGCTACAGAATATTGCAAGTAGTTGGGTTCAACAGGAAATTTGATAAAGAAACAGAGGAATATTCTAATAAAGTGCTATTACCACAAACATCACCTCTTGGTCATGAGATCACAAACCAAAAATTACTTAATTCTGGAAGAATGCCCTGGAGAAATATCACTGTATGTTCAATTTTGCTTTTAAACACTCTCCTCTACGTATCAGTTACCAGCTTCTGTTCAGAGAGGGTATGGAGATTTTTAGGGTTTTTTTTCATGCTTTTGTTCCTTAGGCCGAGTGGAGCCATTTGCATACTGTTAGGTATGTTTCTAGACTCCAATCCTATATATCAAAATTCTTCATAAAACTACTGTAGGTCCCCTAGTAATATATAGATACTTGATCTGTAATATTGCCTTTCAACAGAAAGCAGGAAGCACATTTGTGTATTCTGGATATTTAATATATAACCCAAAATCCGGAATCATAGAATCCTTATGGTTGGAAAAGACGTTCAAGATCATCGAGTCCAACCATAAACCCTTCAGCACTGTATCTGTTATGTTCCTAAGTGCCTCATCTACACTTCTCTTGAAGACTATTAGGCATGGCGACTCCACCATTTCCCTGTGCAACCTGTTCCAATGCTTCACTACTCTTTCCGGGTACAAATTCTTCCTGATGTCTAACCTGAACCTCCCCTGAGGTTCTGGAGGTAACTGGAGGCCATTTCCTCTTGTTATATCTGTAGTTATGTTGGAGAAGCTATAGACCCCTGCCTTACTACAGCCTCCTTTCAGGTAGTATTAGGGAGCGATGATGTCTCCCCTGAGTCTCCTCTTCTCCAGACTAAATAACCTCAGCTCCCTCAGCTGCTCCTCATAAGGTCTGTGCTCCAGCCCCATCACCAGCTTCCTTGCCCTTCTTTGGACATGCTCCAGTACCTCAGTGCCAATGTCATATAGCCTCAAACCTACATTAAGTGCTAAAGTACGAGCAATCAATTTTTCAGAAGTTTCACAGGAAAAAAAAAAAAAGAATATGGTTCAAGGCAATTACATGTGATTTCTAATAGTTTTACTAAAGTAACCTGGACCAAAACAGGTCTGGAAACTTAACAAACGTAATGGAAAGACCCTGGTCACCCACTCACACACAATAAACTAGCAGGGAACTTCACTAACCGCTCCCTTCCCCCAGCTTGTCACACAGTCAAGATTTCCCTCAGCTGTGCTTACATGAGCAAGTTGTGTTGCCTGTAGGAGCAGAATGGTAGATCAAAACGGATGGTGCTAAGAACCTGACATCCCTATTTTGCATGTTTTCAAACTGGGGAGGTGGATGTTGGACTAGGATCTGGCTGGTCTTATAGACTGAGCAGCCATTAGTGATTAGAGCAATTTGATGGGTCTCTGGAGTCTGTCTTAAATTTACTTTCATCAATGAAGCTTACTTCTGTAAATCCATGCTCTGATGTGCAAAGTAAAAAAAGTAAATGAGATGATTCAGAGAGGCCCTTCAAAAGCATGTTCCTGATCCAGATTAAATGCTAATTAAATGCATTTTATGTCATTCCTGACATTTCTCCTCTTAAGTCATACTAGGATCAACTTCATAGTAAATCCTTGCATGGATAAAACCTCTGACTGAACCAAATGTCTGTATGTATAGGTGGGATAAGTACTAAATACCTCAGTCTCTGCTTTAATAAATAGCACATGAAAACCCAACTGGTTAAAGTACAGCTCTTGATGCTATTCTGAAATCAAATTATGAAATTTGGTTTCCTGGAAGAGCAAGGTAATGGACTCAAAAGATCTAGGCAGTCTCCTTCAATTTTCTATCCTAAGCATATCCTTTATAATCTCTTCTGGAAGGCAATGATACTTGGCACCTTTTCATCTCTACAAATTAACTGTTAGTTTGATTCGGAGCATGCTCATGTGGAAAGGTTTTTTCCTGGGTAGTGAAAGCAAGGCTCAATTTTAAAAACAATCCCAAAGATTATTTTGCTATATGAATAGGAAATGTTACTAATAACAAAGTAGTTGCTAAAATGAAAAAATCTATTGTCAGCTACATCTATCAAACTATCAGGTGAAATTCCCCCCACTATCATGGGCCCAGTTCCGAAAGGACTGAAAAACTCAGTCCCCAACAATCTCCCAGGACCAAATCCTGGCTGCATCTCAGAAAGGATTTCTCTGCGTAAACATTTGGGATCAATTTTAAATACTGCAATGTGAGTCTAAAGTAAGTCAGTGTCCTAACAGTAAATACTGCAAGACACTTTAAAGCATGGTTTGCTCATAACCATAATGGAGCCTTTAGCTTAGAGAATGATATTGGAATTGGATTGGTTGGTATCTTATATATTCTTGAAGTTTTGTGGTTCTGTATTGTCACTTACTGTATTTAATATATTTTGACATTTTACTCAAAATGAGTTACCCAGGGTTAAAAGGCAACCCTTTGATTGTTGATCTTCAACACATTAGGCCTAAAGCAGTATTTTTCCATACCTTATTTATGTCCTCATACACAAACCCATCAATCACAACATAAAAGGCCTGTACAATCCATTCCTTTGAGCCTTTAGAAGATATTCTTGAAAGAAAAATGAGATTGTGAAATTTCATTTTGGATCTTGGGCATTAAAAGAAGTACACTCCCTATCCTTTCATCTTTGAATGTAAGGCAAAGAGCTGCTTGCTTTTTCCTGTTGAATTAAAATGAAATGGGAGACAAAGCACATAGAGCAAAAGTCCTTCAAGCATCATCTCCTTAAATCACTGCTTTGTGAGAGAAAAGAAAGTGGTTTTTCAGCATATGAAAATATTATTATGTAGCCTGGCTTTGTGGTTTGGGTTGTAGACCAAAGGAGAATGTTTCATTTGCTGAGAAAGATAAATCTGTTTCTACTTTGCATTCCACAGCCATTCCGAAGCATATTTTCCTGCTTGATAAATAATCATTGAAGGCATTTGTCAGAATGCTGCTGGTGTTTGCATTGGGTTGAAAGTAAAACCTCACAACTCTCCTACTTTGCTTTCTTCCTCGTCTGTTTGGATAAAGCTAAGGCAAGGGGCCCTGACCTACAGACAGCTCTTAGGCAGAAGGCCTCACTGAAATGATGCGAAGGCCTCACTGGAATCTGAACAGCAAAATATAGTACTGATAGATATGAAGTACGTCCTTCTAATCAGTAGCTTGGCAAATCCACACATCATCTACAGTGTCGTGTACAAGACATCATCAGGCTGGATCAGATCCATGACCATCTGTTACAAATGATTGATCTAAGGTGAAATGACTTTCATTTCTCCAGTCAGCTGGGAGATGCTCAGACCTCATCTTCCTTTCCTATTTTGGTGACTTTCACACAATCACCGAGCCCGACTTCTCTGGGATGACAGCTATAGAGAACTATATATGCCATAATTGATTGTGGGCTCCCTCAGATCGCAGCCCAAACTAATGGCACCTTTAGGCAGGCCACAGCTGAGCATCCAGCACACAAATGAAAGCTAAAACCAAAACATTTTTACTGGTCTGAAATTCACATATAAAGTGTTTCAGTACAAAAGGACATGTCCGCTCACTTTGGACATAACAGGGTCTACTTGTGATGTTTTGTAAAGACAAAGCTTCTTATATAAGGGATGTACCTAGTAAATCTTCTGAGCCACCTGTGCTCAAAACCTCCTTCTCGCTTCTCCATAAGTACAGCGGTACAGCGGCAGCTGAAAGGCACAGCTAGCTGTCATTGAGAAAGCAACTGAGAGGTCTAAACTACTGTTTCATTTTTGGTGGTAGGAAAATGACATTCAGCTGAAAAGCAGTTTTGTGTTTTACCAAAGAAATGCTAAACTGAAAGTCTTCATTTACATGAATTACATTTTCCTTGAGGTTTGCGGAAGGAGAAAGTAAAAAAATGCTAACCAACTATGCACCCAAATCTGTATCTTATCCATAAATCATATTTTGGAACATTATTCATCAGTGACACCAAGATTTAGAGCTAACCCAAACCTGGGATGCTACTGCCATAACTACAGTCTATCTCTACATTCAACAAGATCACTGGTAACTGACCAACAGTTAGAAACAGTATCTCCAGTATCATTTGGAAACAGGTGTTTTTCTCCAGGAAGAGCATCACAGAAGTAAGTCTACTAATATAGAAGTTAAGTACAAAAGGAGCAAAATTAAAGTTTGCATGAGGTTAGAATAACGGTGCAATTCAAACCATGACAATATCTTTTAAAATTCTTCTGGCAATTTCAGCGTTTTATTTTTAACCAACAAACATACCTACAGACAGACAGAAAGAAAGAAAGAAAGAGAAGGAAGGAAAGACAGACGAACATAAAGAAAACTCCTACCCTAGTGGATTGCAAAGCCATTACTGCCTACACACAACAAACCCAACAGGCAGGCCAGAAAAAGCATGTCACATGCATCCAGAGATTCAAAATAGCGAAAGGTCATGTCTAAGGGTCAAGATAGTTACGTGACAAGTAACAAGATCTAGCTCTGGGGAATTTCTTTCAATTCAGCCCTATTTCATAACACTTCTCGTTTGTAAGCAGTTTTAGTAGTGTTCCAGCAAACAGCACGTACATGCAAGTTCTCCCACATCAGGTCCCTTTTTTTCTTTTTTTTTTTTGGAAACTTTAGTAAAGAGACCAAGGCTGAAAGAACAACATGTCCCTGAAAGTACAACAAGTCCAAACAGTCTTTTTTATCTTTGGTGCCTCCAACCCAAGCTTAAAATATGTGAGCCAAATGCACAAAACGCACAAATGCACAAATGTACTCGAGCCACTCTTGAGCCTTCTACACACCTTCTTGTAAAACGGCTACTAAAACTGCTCTTCTGAGTCTGGCACAGCTGGCAGTGCTTTAACTTCACATTAACATTGAATAAATTACTTGTGCTGGTATATGCTCCTGTCATTCTGTCATATTTCAATTCAGCTTATGAATAAATCAAAAATCACCCTCCCTAACAGAGGAGGGTGAGTCTTAAATAACGAGTCCTAAATAAAGACTATGCTGAACTTCACCAAACACTGTAACTTTATGAAAGAACTTGAATGGATAAATAATGTTCAATTAAGGCTAAATGCTCATATGCTATTATTTTATGACAAGTACAGATAAGAAGGCAAACTGGTAACAAGCTGTTGCTGAAATTTCCAAATTAACTTCCTGTGCTTTTGTACAGAACAAGCACAACCCCATGCATCAGATGATAAAAAAGTTACAGTCCTGCATTTCAATTTGCTGATCAGGAGCTGAAAGCTTTTGCTTCCCTTGCGACTTTGGCTACCTGGGCTGCTTTCTGAAACAGCTCTTTCAGAATGCTGTGCAGAATAACTTTCTAGTTCTAAGTTATGCAATAAACAGGCATTACTCACTGGATCCTGGAAATCTTGCTTTCAGAATAAATGAAACTCAGTTCTAATGTCCCACCGCAACATTCACATCACCATACTCATTAAAGCAAACTAGAAACAACTTACTGTGCAGGCATACACAGCAGCCTACTTTGATTATTATTTTCAATGTTTTTCTTTAAATATTTTCTTATCCCAAAAATGAAGAGTCTGCAAATAGATATTATACAGTATATGCTTGTACACAGTTTTAAATTAGTCTGACATCATATAAAATTCCATACAGCTAAACAGATTAAATGACATTTTGAAAGATTCGTTTCACTGATGACATCTCTAAATTTGCACTTGGAAATATCTTTCTAAAACACCAAGTAAACAAAAACTTATTAAAGTGGGGGCTTATCTAGGATTTAATAACACAACATTTTCTGTAATAGCTACTAACACAGCTACTAATTCATCATTTTCTTGCACATGAAGCTGAATTTCCTAAGCCAAAATAAGCATCACATGCTTGTGCTTTTCAGATCTTTCTGGAGTTCACAGTGTTTTTGTGGGGGTAAGAAAGCCAGCCCAGGGTTTGAGATACTGCCCGGTGCCACTGTAAAAAAGATCACACAAATAGGCAAGGATGGAGCTTTTTGTAAACCAAAAGCAAACATTCCAGCCTACATTTTCTAAAATTCATTCCTAGATATGATGTTTTATGTTGGCCCAGTGTGTTGAAGCCTTACAAAAGATGAGCAGGAGCTGTGAAAGAAGGCAGAAGAAAAAGAAAATCATGCCACTACCTTGAGAACGTGATCAAAATCTCTGCTCTCCTCCTGAAGCTGCGAGTGTCCAACTCACTTCAAACCTCACCACAAAGCTCAGCATAATGAAAACAAAGGGATTCACCGGGAAAACGGAGGGAAGACAAGAAGAACAGAAAACAAAACAAAACAAACAAACAAAAAAAGTCCAAGCAAAAGTCTCCTCTGTGTCTTTCCAGGCTCGTCTCTGAAGCTGTACTGCGTCTCAGAGCCCATCTACCTCTCTGAAGGGACTTACCACAAGCGTGCAGCACAGGAACTTGTTCATTGTGGTCGGTGAAGAAACCTCAGCGAGCGAGCTGGGCAGTGAGGCAGGGAGTCAGCTAGCGCTCCAGTCTCCTAGCAGCCTGCTTGCATCCCCCAACATTAAAGACACGATATATATATAGCCCTGGTGCAACAGGAAGCTTTGGCTCAGAGCTTTGATCACTCATTCCCCGTCTATGACCAAACTTTTTTCTCTCTCTCTTTTTTTTTTTTCAAGGAACCTGTAAAACTTGATGACTTAATGGAACTCTTTGAGCGCTCTAACCACAGGCTGGAAAATGCAGGAGGGAGTGTCAGGGGCTGGCCCGGGGAGGGCTTAATTGGGCTCTGTCTGTCTGTGTGTCTGTCTGTCTGCGGCCCCCCCTCCGCGAGCAGCGGGCTCTGGGGGGGGACACTCATCCCCGCCACACAGCGACCGCAGGATACGCGATTGAAAACAACCCCTGGGGCTGCGCTCTCCTTGTGCGCCCTGGGCTGCTGTTTCCTGCCAGGATGAGGGTCCCCTGGAGTGGGGCTGGCCAGCAAAGCGACATGGGGATGGCGAGGGCTGTGGGCAAGCAGAAATGGTGCCACTTTCTTTGCCCCGCTGCTGCAGGGGTGCGAGAGGCAACGTGTTGTCCTGCCACCCGCCACAGCCACGCTGGGTTCCTGGCTGCCCATGGAGCCGCCTGCCCTGGCCCAAGGGGCTCCCAGGGTGATGGAGAGGCCCCACGCAGGGGCCTTTTCGCCTACTGAGCCTTGGACGTTTTGCCCTGGCCCCCACCCCATCTCCCCCCTGCTGCCTGCGTAGAAAAGGCCATTTCCCAATTTGGTCCAAGGACCAAACGCTGCCGGTCCTGCAGCCCTAGGTTTGTGGGATCACTTCCCAGAGCAGCTCCAGTACCGGGAATCTGTATGTACCCGGTGTACCGGGCCCTGGAACGGAGCAGAAATTTCTGCACAAAGGTGCAGAGAAAGCACTTCTCCTCCTGACCACTCAGAAAGTGGTTATCATCCGTATTTCAGACTCTCTGGGATGCCAAGGCAGAAGCCAAACCCAGATGTGCATCCAATTTTCACAGATGGTTTTCTCTCCTTTTTCACAGGCCAGACCAAAACCTCAGCTCTCTGTAGCCCAGCTCTCAAGCACTTGAAATCTGGGGCCCACAATGGCTCTGCGCTCTGCAGTTTTGCCCCTTTGAGTCACAAGGCTGTATAGTGTTGGCAGAAGAGGGAGGTGGAAAAAGCCTGCATATTGTTTCGCAGAAGGCTGGTTACGCGAAGTCAGGAAACCATGTTCTTCAACAAAGAAAGCCTTGCCGATGCCTCCTTACACATCTGTAACCATTTAAACACCCATCAAGCATATCCTAAAATTGAAACAGATGCTGATTGCATTCGGCGGCGCAACTGAAATTCAAAGGCACTCAAATTAGCGATAAGTTCTTTGTAAGTGGTTGGGTGAAAACTGGAAGGAAACCTCACCACCCAGGAGAGTATTGCTGGCTTCTGTTAGGGAGTAGTCACCACCTGACTATTTTTGCACATTGAAGAGATGTTGTAACTATTCCTGTAATCTCTTCAGAAGCTTTTGTTACTTTAATGTCTGTTCTTAGCTATATTGATCAACCTGCTTCCCAGGTAAAAGGACAGATGTTGGGAGACATGCTACCTTTGGAGGAACAGCCCTGATTCATAGTAAGTGAGGATCTATTTTCTTGGTGAGATGGAGGGAAAGGCCATTTTCTACATGGTTGTCTTTGAGCATATAAGGGTAGCTATGCCAGTCAGCTGAATTCTTTATGCAGAGATCAATTTTAAAGGTTACTCATAATACTGACCCGATTAGCAGAGGTTATTCAGGCCCAAATACCTTTATCCTTTTTATTGCTGGGACACAGCAATGTTTCCTGCTCCTCACTGGAGCTGGCTCAGAAGTTATGGGCACCAGAGGAGTCCGACTACCTCTGCAGAAAAACAGGAATGCATGAATTTTCTAGAGATCAAAATACTTGATGTCATAAACCAGACAAGAAAAAAAAAAGCTGTTAATATTGTTTAGCCTAGATTGTGGTTATGATTAGGAAAGTAGCATCTTCTTCAACAGGTCTGCTTCAGGTATATTTATGTTCAGGATCGGATGTCCAGATCTGTCTGAAAATATTTTTTGTTTTCATTAGAAGTGAAAAACCTAATAGAGTTTAACAAGAAGAAAACAGATCTTTGTTAAGCTCATTCATGTGAATGGAAAGTGGCCAAAGTCTATCTGCTTCAGTGAGAACAGCAGGTTTGGACAAATGCTAAGGAGACCATCATCTTACAATACCTGACATGAAAGTTTCAACTTTCCTCACCGGAGTCTGGCTGTGGTAAACTGCATGATTTTACTTAGCATGTTTCATCTGAAAATCACAAATAGACAGTAAATACAGGATACCCCACAATGCCATATTTAATGTCACTTTTCAGAGAAGAACGACACTGCTACAAGGCTTAAACTGCAGTTTCAATGTTTTCACAAGTGTTTTGCAGAGTTGCCACTTTGCCTTTGGGAATTAGTTAAGATGTGCTTTGCAGAGCACAGAATCACAGGACGAGGCAACAACCCTGTAATAAACACTTGTCCATGCTACAACCAAACTGTTCTCAGCTGTGTTTAAAAGAACCACGGTTGTGACTACATGCCATAACAGGGAAGGAACACGGCCTAAAATTATTTTTCAAAAATTAAATCCCTTTGGAATTTACTGGAATTTAATTGGAAAAAGGAACTAAAAATCAGGATTTATTCTTTCTACTAACAAACATAGCATGGTGAAAATATGCACTAATAGTCAGCTACGTGCTACAGGAATATTGCCAGCTTGGCCTTTAAAAATAATTAGTTAATTATGATGCAGAAACAACTTTCCAGTTAACAGAAATAGCAATCATTTCAACTTTTATCAGTGCCTAAAACTAGAGAAAAAAGGCTACTTTTGTTGGGCATGCTGAAAGCTATTGATACTCTAAGGCTTTCAATCTGGAGTGATGTGCTTTTGGTGGGACATCAGCTTATTGATTCAGTAGTAGTCATATTTCCAGACAGGTATTTATCTTTCCCTGTTTTTTATCCTCACTATTTGTATTGCTGTCCTGGATGTTATGATTGTTATAAATCTATTTTTGTTCCCATGCATCATTATAATCACCAGGTCTATAAATGGCTTTGCTCTTTAAGCCCGTCTGCTATCTGGAAAAACTCACAAGTCCCAACCAGTGAGTTGGTGCTGGCAGGTGAATGCTGTGTAGCTGAGTCATCTCAATATATCAGTGGGATGTTTACTGAGCCCAGGCAACAAACAGTGGGAAGACTGTGGCTTCAGGCTTGGGACTTGAAGTTCACCACACATTGAATTTAGAAAACACTCAGGGCTTCGTCATTAACAGATTTCTGTCAAACTGGGAAGAAGAAGAATCTCAAAAAAGATCAATTGCCTCTGAAAGCAAACGTATTAGTGGCTGCAAGAGGAAACAATTGGGCATTGTACCGTGCTGTTACAACAATCCCTTCAAAATGAATCTACCTATTGAAATCCGAAGAGCTGGTGACCTGAACCATCCTGGGAAAGCCTTAGAAATGGAGGCTTAAAGAAAACTGCAGAGAGTGTAGGGATACAGCAGGAAAACATGTTTCAGATTTTGCTGATTAAGTTAACGAACCCCCCCCCCCCCCGCAAATATTTCACTATCTCTATTCTCCCACATGACTTTGAAACCCCAGGGAAATAATTTCATGCAAAATATATTGAAGGAATAAATAAGGTATTTAGCTAATAATGTTGTCAAAGGAAAAGTATATCTGTAAATAGTTAGCATTGTTTTAAGTATGTGGCTTGCTTTATCTCGTAAATGGCTTTGCTTCAGTTTCAGATTGAGATCTTAGCTCATTTCTCTTGTAAATCTGAGGTGGATATGAGGTGCTAATACACCAAAAGGAAAACCTCACTTGTCCAGCTATGTATCCAGAGAGGGAAAGGTAGGGCTTCTCCTATCAAAACAGATATGGATTTGGATTATAAGATTTGAAAGTTGCAATGAATGAATTGAAAAATTATAGTCACAGTCATACATACAAACCTCTCCTCAAGCTTCAGAATAAAGAAGACCATATACTCTTTTCCATGCATGGCTTGCCTACCTGGGAATTAGAGCAGGCTGTGAATATGAAGAGTGCTAGCTCTCTGTAGGGAGGGACACCTCAGGTTGTAGATAGCATTAACTGCTCTATCCCTCTTTCACATGGATGATGCCCTGTGAGTTTGCATCCTGGCCTATCTCACAACCTCTCCAATCTGCAGGGAAGCCACAGCACACATAAGGAATACTGGAGCACTAGCAACTGAGGCAAAGGCTGTTTGATTTAGTCATTCCTGTCCTGGCCTTGCTGGCCTTAAATTTCTTCCTAACTTGATCTCTCTGAAAGTGAGAAGCTTCCTGCAATGATTCAGATCCCTGCATCACTCAGAAAGATTAATGTCTTAAGAAAAACTCAGTCACAATACCCAACCATTCGATAAGAAGGAATTCATTATTCCCAGAATCAACATTTCCAGTTAACACCAATGCTCTGAAAGAGACGACACATACTTTACCGAAAGCTAAGGAAATTGGAACTGGTACAAGACAAGCTTTAGCCAGTAAGATTTTCTGGTGAACAGGTTTTTCTTTTTTGTCTCTACTAATTTGCTTGCTACTCTGTAATTGAAGGTCACTGGTTAAGGAAAATGGTCCCATTAGCTCATGAAGAGCAGCTGTAATTTCATTGCTTTCAGTCTGACTTCATTGTGTATATTTGGGTGGTATTAACATAGCATCAGTTTTCCTTCCTCCTGGTTTTCCACATAGGCAAAGATGTCAGCTGTGATGCTATGCTCAGTCTTCAATGAATTTTGCATGGACATCTGAGGTTTTGTGCTACAGGCTCTGAATTTTTCTCTCTCAAGCACTGAGTTCATTCAAGTGTGTGAACCAGCTACCAGCTTTTGCAACTTAATGGCTGCCCTATATCATTTACATGGAGATGTTTTCATCTCTTGTGGATTGCTATGCTCTGCCCTTCCAACCAGGAAGACAGCTAGAGGCAATTACCATTTACCAGAAGAAGCTGCCTGCTTCTTGTGTCAGTAATCCTCTACAGTATAGCAATGGCTTTGAAAGCTGAAGAAAGTGAAGT